AGAGCTCGCTCCGTGCTGGTACGAGCAATCAACAGGCAGAAAAACTGTGACGATCCATCACGCTCGGGAAGTGTAGAATATCTCCTGTGTTGGGGTGCCCATATTTTTGTTTTTGTCAGATGCCAGTCCCGAGCGCGTCCACGAAACCGAGCAACAAAACCAACCAGGGATCCCGTCTTTCTGCGTTCACGAGCTTGCCCAATATAGCGCGCACGGTAACCAAATTGATAATATGTGATGTGATTCTGGGCCTCGTGAGGGCCCTGTCCCATAGATACCAGAAGTTTGGAACTGGATCAGGTTTTTGAAGGCTAAAATATGGCACAACTGAGCCCCCCCCCGTGCGAACGAACGCTTTCCTATAATGAGCCTCCAGGGGCCCACAAGCCCGTAGTGCCCACCAAACTTGCATACGTCCTCGGAGTCCTCCAAGACGTAGACTGAGCAGCATAATGGCCAGAGTTCTGCTTCCCAGAGGCTCCCAAGACCGCGGTGTGAGAGTCCCTGTACGCGGGGCCAACGTGAGGAGCTCCCGTTGGGGTGCCTTGAGGGCCATGAAAAGGTCCACGGACGGCTCCGAGACAACAAGATTCCAGAAGATGTTGCCCCAGAAATCCACGACCTCTGTCTGCAGGCCTATGTAGAAACAGGGCTTCAGGGCAAAGATCTAGTTCGGCGCCAAGTCGACTCTGACAGGTGAGACGGGCACGGGTTGTTTCCTCAGCAGCAAGGGGGCTTGTTGTTGGAAGTACTTGAGGGGAAAGAAGAACGGCACGATATGCGCCTGCATGTTTGCCAAGCAGAGACATCTCACCTGAGAAAGGGGAGGAAAAGGAAGTGCGTGTCTCCAGTCGCGCAGACACCCACGGTATAGCCAATCTGCAGCACGTAAGCGAAAGAGAAGGTGGACACGCACCGCTCGTCACACCACTGGCACTGACGGTATAGCCACTCTGCAGCACGTGGCACCAGGGTGGACGGAGCACAGGACGGAGAGGGTAGCACAGAATATGAAAGTGAAATATGGAATACGTAAGACGTCGGTGGTACACACTGGGTCGTCCAATGCTCCAAGATGACGTCGACACACGATGGCGAAGAGAATATCAAATCCAGCAGGTGTACCTCCAGGTCGGATCAAACTCTGGTCATGGCAGGCCGCTTGCGCTCGAGGGGTCTCTTTGAACGCGCACTGCTGCTAGCTCCTCGCCCCCTGTGGCAACGGGGAACGGCCTGAGCCTGAGAAACAGCGGTAAAACAAAACATGTCTTGAGTGCTCCTGGCGGCAATGTTACCCCAAGATCTTATCCCCAGATCTTTACCTACCCAATCGCATGAAACTCACTAGTGTGCTATTCTGCTACATGTAGTCAGATTGTCAATGAGAAAACTACAAGAACACACACGCACGCACACACACGCACACACACACACACACACACACACACACACACACTTTTTTGGGGTCGGCAGGGCGAGAGCGAACCTCTTCCGCTAAAAGCTGGGCGGGCTACGCGCAGCTTTAATTAGGGAGACAGGGCGCAGGAAGACGGGGCCTCAGGCGGCCGGAGCATGTGGAGCCCGGGGTGCAGGCGGTGCCGAAGAGCTTGCACAGGAGAAGGTACGCCGTGGACGGGGCCGGGACACACACACACACACACACACACGCACATACACACGCACAGAGACACACACACACACACGTACACACGCACACGCGCAAACGCGCGCGAAAAGCACACGCCTCTGCGCTACGTGTTACATATACGTCGTCCAACATGTTGCTCATGATCATGTTCTCCCGTGCCCATTCTTCACCCTGCCCCAAATCACCATCAACCTTAGCATAATCATCCCCATCAGCAGCAGCATGGCCATCATGATCATCAGCATCATGATCATCATCATCATCATCATCATCATCATCAGCATCATCAGCATCATCAGCATCAGCATCATCGTCGTCGGCGTCGTCGTCGAAGTCGTCGCCGTCATCCTCAACAGCATCAGCCATACTGCAAATACCATCATCAGCATCATCCACATCAGCATCATCATCATCATCATCATTGCCATCGGCATCATCGTCATATTCGTCATCGTCGTCTTAAGCATCATCATCAACGTCAGCATCATGAGCAGCATCAGCATCAGCATTACCATCTGTAACATCGTCACCGACATCATCATAGTAGTAGTGCCAGTAGCGGTAGAAGTAAAAGTGGAAGTAGTAGTAGCAGTAGTAGTAGTCGCAGAAATAGGAATAGTATTCGTAGAGGTAGCACTAGTAGCAGCAGCAGCAGCAGCAGCAGCAGCAGTAGTAGTAGTAGTACTCGTAGTAGTAGTAGTAGTAGTAGTCATAGTAGTCGTAGTAGTAGTATTAGAATCAGTGGTGTAGTAATAGTAATAGTAATAGTGATAGTGATGGTAATAGTAATAGTAATAGTAATCGTAATAGTGATAGTAACAGTGATAGTAACAGAAATGGCAATAGTAATTGTAATAGTGATAGTAATAGTAATAGTTATAGTATTTGTAATAGTAATAGTCATAGTAGTAGTAGTAGTAGTAATAGTCATAGTACTAGTACTAGTACTAGTACTAGTACTAGTACTAGTAATAGTAATAGTAATAGTAATAGTAATAGTAATAGTAATAGTAATAGTAATAGTAATAGTAATAGTAATAGTAATAGCAATAGTAATAGTAATAGCAATAGTAATAGCAATAGTAATAGTAATAGTAATACTAATAGTAATAGCAGTAGTAATAGTAATAATTTTAGTAATAGTAATAGCAATAGTAATAGTAGTAGTAAAAGTAATAGTAATAGTAATAGTAATAGTAATAGTAATAGTAATACTAATAGTAATAGCAGTAGTAATAGTAGTAGTAATAGAAATAGAAATAGTAATAGTAATAGTAATAGTAATAGTAATAGTAATAGTAATAGTAATAGTAATAGTAATAGTAATAGTAATAATAGTAATAGTAATAGTAATAGTAATAGTAATAGTAATAGTAATAGTAATAGTAATAGTAATAGTAATAGTAATAGTAATAGTAATAGTAATAGTAATAGTAATAGTAATAGTAATAGTAATAGTAATAGTAATAGTAATAGTAATAGTAATAGTAATAGTAATAGTAATAGTAATAGTAATATAATAGTAATAGCGTAATAGTAGTAATGGTAATAGTAATAGTAATAGTAATAGTAATAGTAATAGTAATAGTAATAGTAATAGTCATAGTAATAGTAATAGAAATAGTAATCGTAATAGAAATAGTAATGGTAATAGTAATAGTAATAGTAATAGTAATAGTCATAGTAATAGTAATAGTAATAGTCATAGTAATAGTAATAGAAATAGTAATAGAAATAGTGATAGTAATAGTACTAGTAATAGTAATAGTAATAGTAATAGTAATAGTAATACTAATAGTAATAGCAGTAGTAATAGTAGTAGTAATAGTAATAGTAATAGTAATAGTAATAGTAATAGTAATAGGAATAGTAATAGTAATAGTAATAGTAATAGTAATAGTAATAGTAATAGTAATAGGAAAAGAAATAATAATAGTAATATGAATAGAAATAGTAATAGTAATAGTCATAGTAATAGTAATAGTAATAGTAATCGTAATAGAAACAGTAACAGTAATAGTAATAGTACTAGTAATAGTAATAGTAACAGTAATAGGTATAGTATTAGAAATAGTAATAGTAATAGTAATGGTAATACCAATAGTAATAGTAGAAGTCGTCGTAGCATGTGAGGTCGTAATTAGTGGTGGTAGTAGTAGTAACCGTAGTAGTAGTAGTAGTAGTTGTTGTTGTAGTTGTAGCTGTAGTTGTAGTAGTCGTAGGAGGAGTAGTAGTAGTAGTAGTAGTAGTAGGAGTAGTAGTAGTAGTGGTAGGAGTAGTAGTAATTGTTGTAGTAGTAGTAGTAGTAGTAATAGTAGTAGTAGTAGTAGTAGTACGAGTACGAGTACGAGTGGAAGTAGTAATCGTAAAAGTACTAGTAGCAGTAGTCGTAGTTGTAGTAATAGTAGTAGTAATAGTAATAGTAAAAATAAGAATACGAATAGTAGTCGTAGTAGTAGGAGTAGTAGTAGGAGTAAGTAAAAAAGCATCAACGTGGACGGCTTGATCACCAGCATCATCATCATCACCATCATCATCATCACCATCATCATCATCATCACCGTCAGCATCAACATCAACATAATCAATAGCATGATCAACCTCATTCGATCATCACCAGCATCATCAGCATCATCACTCATCATCATCATCATCATCATCATCATCATCATCATCATCATCGTCATCGTCATCGTCATCATCATCATCATCTTCATCAGCGCCATCATCATCATCATAATCGTCATCACCATCACTGTCAAAATCCTCAGTGTCATCATCACCATCTGCATCAGCAGTTGCATCATAATCATCATCACCATCATCATCATCATCGTCGTCGCTCTCCGCGTCAGAATCATCGTCATCGTCATCATCATCAGACTCGTCATCGTGGCCACCACCAGCACATCACCATCAACGTAATCATCATCAGTTTGATCATGACCATCCTCCTCCTCCTCCCCATCATCATCATCTCCTGCCTACTCCTCCTCCTCCTCCTCCTCCTCCTGCCCCTCCTGCTACTCATCCTTATCCACATCCTCATCCTCATCCTCATCCGCATCCTCATCCTCATCATCCTCATCCTCCTCCTCCTCCTCCCCCTCATCCTCCTCCTCCTGCTCCTCCCCCGCCTCCCCCTCCTCCTCCCACTCCTCCTTCTCCTCCTTGTCCTCCTCATCCTCATCCACATCCTGCTCCACCTCCTCCTCCTCCTCATCCTCCTGTTCCTCCGCCTCTTCCTCCTCCTCCTCATCATCATCATCAGCAGCATCATCATCATCATCACCCCTGGGCGCCCCCTGGAAGCGTCCCTGCGCCTGTCGGCATCTTGGAAGCCCCACGGGTCCTTGTTGTCGAACGCCGGGTTGGGGTCCCGCACCATGACCTCGGGCGGGAAACGGGAACGCCGACGATGACTCGGCTCTGGATGGCGATCGAATGTTGAAAACGGTGCTCGGCAATGCTCAAGTGGTTTCTGTTTGTTTGCTAGGATGTTATGGGGAGGGTGGGAGGGGAAAGGTCAGGAACAAAGGGACTGGTCAGGGAGAAAAGGACGGGGTAGGGAGAATGGGGGGGAGGAAAAGAAGGAGGAGGAAGGGATGACCAAAGTGTTTTTCGGTGGGAGGTTCCAGAAAGTCCTGGGGGGATCTGAGGCGTTGGAAAACGCCTCGGACAGAGAGGGAAAAGAACAGCAGGGAGAAGTGGATGGAAGGGCTGCGCGCTCCAAAACAGCATGGCGAGTTTTCTGCGGGGGTTCTGGCTGGGCTCGCTCAAAAAAGCCGACGCGAGAAATCGAAAAGTCGAAATGGCGCTCCTCGGCGCGAGGAAAGCCGACAAGTCGAAGAGCTCAAGGAGCACCGCTGGGCGCGAGAACTTTGTTTTTTACAACCGCAGGCGGAAGCGCCGGCGGCGAACAGTCACGGTCGGGCTGCGGCCGCGACTAAATTCCCGGGCGCGCGCGGGGGCCGCGGATCAGGCGGCGGGGGGGGCGGCAACCCAGGGCGTCTGAGAGGCCAGGCGGTCGTGCAGGCCCAGGGAGTCTGAGGGGTCAGTCACCTGAGGCGGTCGCGCAAGCTGCAACCCAGGGAGTCTGAGGGGTCAGTCACCCAGGAGCAAGCCAGGCGCGGCCAAAATGGCGCGCAGTGCGTTCCCAGTCGTGGTCGTGCCGAGACAAACGCGTGGTGGTGGGAACCGAACTCCGTGCGAGAAAATCAATCCAGGGAGTTTGACGGGCATGAGCAGACCGAAACTGGTGACGTCGTCCAGCAAGGAGGGGATTCTGACAGCGCCAGCGAACCGTCGCACCTTCAGAAAACGCATCCGCGGCGGAAAGGGCGAGCCTGAGGCCGAACTGGCAAAGGCGAACGCCGACCCACTGCTGAAAGATGCGCCTGCGTTCAGAGGACCAGCGGTCTGGTCTGGACGCAGCAGGGGTGCACAAGTAACCACCCTGTGAGAACCGAGGTCACTCGAGAATGGACGTGCACCGAACAACTATGTGACATAGCGCCAGGCGACCCACGCAGCCAAGTCGGGGAAGCGCTCGAAGGACAGGAACTGTCGCATACCCAAGACAGCAAGTCCCTCACGGTCACAGAGTCCCAGGGATAATCGCACACCTGAGTGCGCAGGAGAGCAACGAAGAAGGACCGAGTGCCCGTCATCCTCCGAGACCGTGCAGCGCAGTCAACAGAATGATAACGCAATGCAACGGTGGGCGGCGCTGATCAGGGTCACGTCATCGGCCCAGTCGGTGTAGGGCGCAGGCGGACCAGGTGGGCATTCCGCAAGCTCGGCGGGGCGACCCACGACGATGAACTGCCCGTACCTCCGAGTCTCGCGTTGCTCCCAGGAGAAAAGAGATAAGCACGGCTGAAGGCCGTAGTAACTTGAAGAGCCCAGGGAGTTGAGCGCAGGTCTGGGGACGGGGCGAAAACCGCCAGGTCGTCGGCCACAGGGCTGCCCGCCAGGCGGGGCCTGGCAGGGTGAAAACAGCCACAGTGGGGCCAGGGGCCACTATGGCCACACGCAACACGAGATTGCAGTGTGGACGGTATTGCTGGCACGCATACTTGGGTCCAAAGGCAGGAAGTGCGCGTGCCAGGAGGGGCGGCAGGATGCCGCGAGCTGGGCCTGTAGTCCCAGGAGCGGCTGAAGGCCGCTGTCTGATAGGGAATCCCAGGGTTCGAGCACGTCTCGGGAGTGGGCCTCGGTCGGTCCCAAAGCAGCATAGCCGAGCACTGGACCATTCGGGCCACTGGTAAGAACCACTACAGCGGGGCCAGGGGCCAGCTAGGGTCTGCGCGCTACGCGCCCCCGCGCAGCGAAGCAGATGGTATTGCTGGTCGACGCACTTGGGTCCAAAGGCAGGAAGTGCGTGGTGGACCAAGGAAGGGGGCAGCGGGGCTGCCACACGGTTGAGAGAGAAGGTAAGGCAGCTGAAGGCCGCACATAATGTGTAATGAGATTGTCATCTCGGGCTGTCTAGGTGCTGGGTGTATGGGAAGTGAGCTCAATCTCCCCATCGGTGCCTCTTTTCGCCTCGCTCGCCAGGTCTGCCTCCACCACGCTTGCCCCCCGTCTGCCAGCGGTCGTCGTGCCAGCCGTCACTCCAGTCGCTCTGCCAGGTGCCCCGGGTGCCCCAGGAGCTTGCCGCACGGTCTCGCCAGCTGCTATGCTGGAGGTTGCCTTTGCCCTTGCCGTCGGGTCGGGTGCGACGCAGGCAGTCGGCCCGCAGTTTGGCCCAATCAATGCGATAGCCGTACCTCGTGTCCATCAGGTAGGCGTTGCACCCGCAGCCCTTCCAGTCGTCGAGAAACTTGTTGATGGTCGCTTCCGTGTGCAGTCTCGGGTCTGATTTGGGCCCCCTGGATCCAGGGGGCCAAACGCGCTGCGTGTAGGCGGTCCACAGCGCGCAGAATACTGCACCCAACTCCGACTGGCACCTGGCAAGGCGTTTGGCGGGTGGCTCGTCGTGACGCTCCAAGTCCACAATGCCCAGCCAGACCTTGCACATGGGTCCCCGTGTGAGTCGGCCAACAGGTTGAGCGCATGGCGCTCCGTCGAACGAGGGGAGGTAGGTCTATGTCCAGGGACCTGTGGGTTACGCAGTGGGGGACGACGGGTCCGCACGTCGCCCCTGTCGCGGGCGCTCTCATCATCCTCAGATCCCCTGGCTGCACTGGTGTTTTGGTCGGTGTTAGCCGGGCCACCCCCGGCAGCAATCGGGCCACGTTCGGAGCTGGGTTCCGAGCTGTCTGCCGTTGGGCTCCGCTGAGGCGCCTTGTCGCCTGGGCCGTTGTCGTCGACCTCCGTGGCAGAGTCCGAGCAAGATACAGGAGGAGGGGACTCGCGGGGTTCCCCAAAGTCGGGTGACTCCACCTTCTCCGTAGGAGGGATCACGTCTTCACCGCTCTCGTCCTTGACAGTGTGGTCGGGCGGGTCCGGGAGACCCAGACGCGAGTCGTCGTCTCTCGTACCCAGGGACTTGTCTGTGTCGGCCGCCGTAGGGGTGCCAGGCCTGTCCTCACTCATGGTCTGAACGCGTGACTCGGCCAAGGAAGTGATGGTCGCCGAGGCGAGGGCATCGGCGCTGAGGCTGAGTAGGAAACTCGTCAGTGTGCCAATGTCGTGTCTGATGGGACTGAGGCCACTCGCCGGGGCCAGGATCGAGGCGCGCCTCACCCAGGACTCCCTATGCTTCTCGCCGTCGGTGAGGTGGGCGACGACTCGCGCCGCGGCCAGCCGTTTACCCTCCCAGCGCTGGTTGAACGGGACGCAATCCTCAGGGATGCATTCGCCGTACGCCGTCCCGAGGAAATCAGTCAGAAGTCCGCCCGGCCAGGAGGCTTCGTCACTCCTAGGCTCTGGGATGCTGCTGTCGCGGTTGGTGAGACAGAACTGTCTCCAGGTGTAGTCCAGCCCAGGGTGGAAGTCACGGAGGTAGGTCACCAGCAGTCGCTGTGCGGACAGCCCTCCGCTGCCTGGTCCGCTCCTGGGGTCGTTCGGGCTCAGCGTGGGGTTGTTGACGTCCCTGCTGTCCAGGAGCGGGCCCTGCGGGACTGGCAGCTCTGGCAGGAGCTCCATGAGCTGTGCTAGGGACCTGGGAGTTCGCTCGGCCGCGGAAGCAGCACCACCCGCGGCGCTAGACCCAGGGAAGTTTGTCGCTCCGGCCTTGGTGAAGCGATCCTGGGCCTTGGCGTCCGCGCCTAGCCATGGGAGAGACTTGAATATGTCCACTGATACCTCAGCTCCGATCTGGCTGCTGAGCGTCGGGAGGACAGGGGCCTCGGCTGGGTACAGCGCTCTAAAGTCCCGATCCAGGATGTGGTCCAGGGTAGCAGGACCGATATTCCATACCGGGACCAGGCAGCGTCGACAGCACCAGGTGGCGTTCCATCTGCGCTCCCGCCAGGCTATGGCTCGCCTGTCGATGGGAGGCAGCCCGGCCTGCTCGGGAACCCCTACCCCTTTCGCAGGCTTCCATATGAAGCAGCCCAGGGGCGGGGCTCCTGTGTTCCAGACGAGGAGCGGAGCCCCCAGGGGCATGTGTCGCACCGGGCGGAGTAGATTTGGCTCTGGGCAGCTTTGAGGCCGAACCGTTCGTCTCGGATCCGTAGGATGGGAATGGTGGTGTGGGCGCGAGAACGCAAAACGTGCAAAAAAGACACGGTTTCGTGCCATTCTCGGAGCTTCCATCTTACCCCATATGCTTCTGGAGCGAGTCTGGCGATGCGCCTCTTCGCGCGGGTAGCTCCGCGCTTGCCACGGGCAAAGCGTTGGCGTGGAGAGGTGCGCGCCTTTAAACACCGCAGGCTGCAGGCTGCAGGCTGGCTGTGCGGCGGTGGAGGTGCCTGTCCACGCTCGCCAGCGTGGAGGGCACAAGGGACCCTCCCTCTGCTCATAGGAAGACCCCACCGGCGCCCCCAGGGTCAAAGGCGGGATCCCTCACCTGAGACCAGGAATAGTGTTTTCCAGCACATTGACCCTGAGGCCGCCTGGACGGGTTCCACCGAGCGCGAGGGAGGCTTGTGCCCTCTACGCGGCGTCGCGACCTCCCACTCCCGCCGAGAGGGGCAGCTGGCCACGCTAGCCCAGGTGGATGGCATAAGGGCCTTTCGCCCTGCACATAGGAAACACCCCGAAGCGTCCACCATCCCCGTGACTGGCACCCTCCCCTGACAAGCAGGAGTGGGGTACCCAGATCACAGGAGTCGTGGCTGCTTGGCGGGGGTCCACCGAGCTTGGGGGAGGTTTATGCCATCCTTGGCGGTGGGCACACTGTAGGTTTGTAGTCCCCTGCCCCGCCATGTATACCTGTCTCAACCTCCCTTAGTTGTCGCGCAAGCAGCTGGTGGCTGCGTCTGCCTGAAGCCTGAAGGTGAG